TGGTCGATTAAGACTACTACTACTACCTGATTCAGCCTGGGAATTATTTCAGTCCTCATAGGAAACTACAAGTCAGTAGAAAATTGAAATCCTCTTAGCATTTTCACAAATTATCTCACCAATCGTACGTTTAATCTTCTGGCCCATTGCCATTACAATACTATCTTTCTTTACCCAATAATTTAATGTCATTATCATACTTACTTTCGTCACCCGTTCGTTACTGTTTGATATCTCTGTATATTAGCACTGTCTCGAGTTGCCTCCAGTGCAATATCGAATATAGCCAATTTGTAACCACGCGCCACCTTCAAGACTACAACTGAAAACTTTCGCACATTGATACAAATGACATAACAAGCAGATCTGATCAAAACCCTGGAAAGTATAATTGTTAGTGTATAATGTATCTTAGAGACCAGTATATATATATATGCCCAATGAAAAATTTCGAAGAATTTTTCCATCAGCCGACCAAAATAGCACGTTTCGTAAGCATATATCCAAGGATCCTGCAGTAACGGTAACCAGCTTAGCCGGTATCGCACTGTATATTACACGAATGATACTTTCGATAACGAACTGAACATAACGAAGTGTTGCCTCTACCTGTAATTAGGTAGCTTTTAATGCGTTTATACTTTAAACCATTATTATGAAGAGCCATCAAATCCCCGTTGGTACTTGACTTTTTATCTATAAAAATAAATCACAAATTTCTCCTTGTCACTGCAATTACCGGTAATTATTGCTATAGTTCGTTGACAAGCTTTGATAAACGGTTTTTACATCGAAGAATTTATCTCTAAACTATACGTTCTATACACATCAAGTTACATTCAATAATAATATTCAGACTTCTTGAGTAGAATCACTTACTACGAGTGAAAATGGTGTCGAATTAACTAGGAACTAATTAACTAAGAACCGCAATGTTTGAATGTACACCTTTTGATTACAAGTCAACTAGTTAGTTAGTCCAGTAAATTAAATTTTGACTGCAAAACACCATTAACGAACTCTTGTAATGATGATATACAGAGATAACAAGAGAGCAATGGATAGCTGTTTCTTCCCGGTTTGGAACTCTTCAGTGGTACGCAGTCACTTGGGCTCAAGTTCTTCCGGTAACAAGACGAGCTCTTAGGTCATTCAGCCCTTGGTTACATTCCAGTGGCCAATGAATTCCAACTTGTGGTTCTTTAACTGATATCAACTCGTGATCGAACTTGATAATTAATCTGATGCTCACTAACTAAAGGATATTACATAGGATACTAGTGAAAAGTCGTAACCAGCAGGGTCCACCAAGTCAAACAAGAGGATAGTGACAGCCAGTCTGTGATGCTAGCTGGTAGTTGCTCTAAATATATATATCAAATATTGGCAGAATTTGGAATTCATGCACCATTAAGTTGGGTTCGAATCTCAGTGGGTGCATACTATTAAGTAATCCTAAACTAGGACGAAACAGCTGTCCAGTACTCCCGGGTTTCCTAATTTTTCTCTAAATGATGTCACCTCATGATCAAAACTATAACCAATCAAATCTCAGCAAACCAACACTTAATAAACATAGGTAAGACGTTTTAACAACTACAATCTTCCAACAGTTAGAATAAGCACAACTAATAACGTGAGCACACTTGTACCAGACTTCATCAAATGGAAGCTTATGATATAACTCTTTGAAACATAATTATTCTAAGTCTTTATTGATGTGATTGAGTAGTCAACTCCAATATATATGCAAATGCACAGACACACGCACACGCACACAGATATACACAAATACACAATCAGGAAGAGGACACAAACTGAGCGTTGTTTATTACACAATTTTCATAGTTTTATAAACAAGTTAATCAATAATATCAATACAGTACTCTAAATCATAAATAATGAATGTGAAAAGAAATCAAATTAGAAATAGAAACAAATATTAAGAGTTGAGTTAAGTGAAGTAAAGTAAAGTAAAGGAATAACAATCAAATAAAATATCATGTTCAAAAAAATAATAATCCGTTTACTTACTTCACACTTACTTTTAATTTGTTTTTCCCGCCAACACTGAAGACATGTCAAAGAGAGGTGAAGTGTAAGTAAGTAAGGTTAACATAAAACAAATCAAATCAAACCATAATGAAATTAAATTGGAACAAAAAACCAAAGATACCAACAAACAACTATAATAAAGAAACTCAAAGAAAAGACAAAGAAAATCAATAAGAAATAAACTTGGGTCAATCATCTCTCTTTCTCTTGGTTGACAAAATAACAAATACAATAACAATTATCCAACGATCTATCAACTATGTGATTGAATAGTTACACTCTTAGTTTGTTTCACATGTTTGAAGAAATAAAAAAAGAAAGGAGAGAAATCCGCCAATGAACAATTGCAGTGCACAATGTTTCAAAAACAGTGTTCAACATTTTTGCGAAGGACAACACTCACAACCAGCCAACCATCCACCACACCACATACCATACTTCAAAATGATCCATATAGTAGAGTATGTTATCATTTCTAATATTATAATACACAGCAAGTTACCCAGTGAGGAAACAGTAAATAGAACAAAAGAACAAGTGACATTAGTGGTAGTAATAATAATAACAACCATAATCTACAATTTTTGGAAAGTTTAACATGCGTGTCATTTCAATTTTATTACCAATGCAACTAATTTATATTCTTTTTTCTTAAATTATCACGAAAAGAACAACAAACGAACACACCACCACCACCAATAATAATTATAATAACAATAATAATTAACACCAGCTAAAAGTAATAAAGTCGGAGAGGGAGGTTCGGGAATTGAGAGCGGAACGGAGTAGAGTATGTGTGGATGAGCGACTGGGTGGGTGGCTGTTTAATTTGAAAAGAAAAGGAAATAAAACAAAAAAAACCAGAATAATCAAGGTAAATGCAAAGCAGCTGTCATCTCTATGTGTAATTACGATGATTGAAATAAAATGCAGTATGTATAAAATGACTAGAAGACAGGATGAAATTCAATGTGATAATAAATATAATATAATAACGTGAATAAACTATCAATCAGTCAATTAATGTGTCAATGTGCAATACATTTATTATTATTATATATACATGAGTCAAGATGAGGATACTATTCTACCGTTTCTCTCCCTGCCTCCCTCCCTCCGTCTCTTTCTCTCATTAATCACCTTTACAAGCCAGACAATCACAGAAGAACACACTAACTACGACCCGCATGACGACGACCGCCTACAACAAACTATGCGCATTACATAAATGCAGAATTAATGTGTTAATCGACAAGAATGAAAAGATTAACACACTGTATAATAATTAGATAAGACAAATAAGAAAATCTGTAATGAAACACAATCATCGTCATCCTCGTCATCATCAGATCATACGGTAATGCTTCACATAATGCAAAACTATACAAAAGAATGGATGGGAACAAAAAAAAGTCAAAGTATCAAATATTAAAGGGAGAGGGATAATAAGTAATAATTATAATAATAATAATAATTATTATTATTATTATTATCATTAGTAGTAGTAGTATAAGTATTAGTCTCTCAAAAACAAAACATTTCCCTTCTTATACTTTTACACAGTTACCACGTAAAAATACTCATATTATGTTGTGTGTGTGTCATGAGGAATATGACAAGAAATAAAAAGACCGATAATAATGATAATAATAAATAATAATCATAATAAATAAGAAGAAAGTAGGCGTTTTTACATACTACTACTGGTGCTAGTACTGTTGCTTTAAAAACAATGCAGACAGACGAGAGATATCGGAAGAGGACAAAGTGATGTGTGATGCATATAGAAAGGTTACACACAAACAAACCACACTTTACTATTATATTATGGGGGCTTATGCAATTGTCAATTAGGAAACTACTACTACTAATAATAATAATAATAATAATAATACTTATACTACCAGAAGAATCACAACACCGACAACACACATCAGAATCACTATTAAATGAAAGAGAGAGAAGAAAATTAGTAGTTAATAAATCAAAACAAAAAATAAGTAAGTAAATTACACGAAAATCAGCAAGAGAGAGACAGAGACAGAGGGGGGAGACGGAGAAGAAAAGAAAGAGGATATTATTATTCTTTGGCGCAATTACTGAAGAAAAAAAACTCCCAAAATGTTGTGAAGAAGAAACAAAGAATACTGAGCAACAATAAAAACAAATCCCCAAATACATAAATATACACACATATTAGGCGGTTATTGCACAGGAAACTAGAGAAAGTAGAAAAAAATGAAGCATACCTTATAGTTTACATACATACCAGACGTTATTAGTCAACAGTACTAGATAGAGTTAAAAATAAAGGATGTGTATACTGTATGCGCAAGTTCTACGAAACTCAAATAAAAGCACTAAACATATATATGTATATATAATACGTGATCTTCTTTGTATTGAATAAAGTATGAAATGCAAGAAGATTCACATTACTATGAATGTTTAACTTCACAAGAGAAAACAGAAGCATTGTCTACGCCCGCATAGATTTTCCATTCAAGCGCAGAAGCCATCCATTCTTCAATGAAGAAAAGAATAAATGCACAAAATGGAATCATAAGAACAGCGACAACAAGGAGAAGAATTCAATCGACGAACAAATACAACACTGTGTAATACATACACTATACGATGAATTGATTGATATACAGTTATTGAATTATAAACACACACACACACATACACACACACGGGGATTACACAATAATAATGATGATGATATTTGTAGAAACTAAAGTGGAATGCGGTTTTGGATCAGTAAGCTGCCAGCCTCCACACATCTTTTCTTTCTCTTGTATTTTTTCATGAATCTTTGACCCTTAGAATCAGAAAACAACTGAAACTGCTCATTTCTTCTAACCAACTATCATCCGAAGAAAAAAGGGAGTAAAGGATATTCCTCCAACAAGAAGAAAATAACCAATTTAAAAAAAGGAGAGTCAATTACATTTGTTACTGTTATCACTAACAACACCACCTCCCCCATCCTGTGCATTCATATCTTGATTTCCATCTGTATCACCGCCTGTTTGATCACCACCTGACTTAGGACCTGTGATAGAGTCAAACGATGCACCTTGGCCTTTATGATTTGCAGATGGATAAGAAGGCATAGATGCTTGATGGCTTAAACGAGGACGAGGCTGGGATGAACCTTGTGGGGGTGAATGTGATTTCTGTGGGAAACGACTAGCAGCATGAGGAGGCTGTACATTACTACCACCAATGCCGACAGTTGATGTGTGTGCGGGTGTAACAGTAGTTATACAACCAGACGGATGACTGTCTGCATTTGATACAGGATCAACAACTCCATACATTTTATGCGCTTTCTTGTTCATATGTGCCATTAGTTCACATGAGATTCGATAACCTTCTAATATTTCTTCTTTCCATTGTGTAATCAATATTTTGTCCTAATATGAAACGGAAAAAAAGTAACAACAGGAATGATATAATTATAGACTATGCAAACAAATAAATATCATAAATTTACAAAGAATATTGAGCAGAGAATATCCTTTTCCGTAAATTCCTCTTCTGGCTCAACGATTTTATATATATACATATATACACTCAGCATCAACGACAAACTTCGGATCTTCAATACAAACGTCAAGTCAGTTCTTCTATACGGATCGATCAGAAACTTGGCGGGCGGGTCAGAAAGAATAATTCCAACAGGCTATTCCAGACCTTTATCAACAACTAACTGTCCTTGCTCTACACTGCAGGATCAGATGGCCGGCCCGGAAAGAATCACCAATAAAAAACTATTGGCACAAACAAACAAAACAAGAACCAATCGCCCAACAAGTATGAAGGAGAAAGTGGAGATGGATTGGACACTCGCTCGCTGAGGAGGCCGCTGGGTGACATCGCGCGCACCATTGCTCGGGTGGAACCAGGCCGAAAGGGAAGCGGGGAGTGGGACGTCAGTACAAGGGTGACATGGAGGAGATCGTGTGAAGAGGAGTTGAAACAGTATGGACTAACATGGATGCAGGTGAAAAGTAGAGCAGAAGACAGAAGCAAGTGTAGACGTGCAGTTGAAGCCCTATGTTCCACTGGGAACCCAAGGGAACAATAATAATAAATAATATAATAATAATACAGAAAATTCTAGAATAATCGTCATTAATAATATTGATGTTTCCAAATGCTATCGCTTCTTCTATGTGTATCTACCAATTTGACTACTCCTATGGAACCAGTTACACAGGTCGTACAATTAGGCGTGTTTATCGTCAGATTTCCGGACATCGTCCTATAGGACAAACAAAATTCATTCATACCACTATTCTATTTCATATTGTGGATACAGAACACAAAATTGATATTAACAAGGCTTTCAAAGTCATCTACCGCTCACTAACTAATCTTAACTTCACCCTAAGAATTCATCTACTGCATACTGCTGAGGCCGTTGAGATCCACATTAAGAGACCTAACTTATATATATATATATATATATATATATATGATAGAGAAGATTTGTAGCTCAGGTGGATAATTTTGATGTGGTTTTGTTCTCTGAGCTGGATAGTTAGTTTGCGAAGCTTTCATCACCTTACTGGGTGACATCTTCAGCGCATACTTCAAATTGAAGTGAGCTCTTAGATTTCTCCACGAGTTTATTAATCATTCCTCCTGGTGACCTTGGACGTGATTGGTTGTTTACGTATGTTTTCACACCTTCTAGGTTACTTGTGTTGGAACTGATTGATTCTGTGACTTGAACTTTGGCCAATCGTGTGTGAAGTTTCTTTCTTATTGGTTGATAAATTTTGTCTATCTCGATGTGTCTATTGATTGATGATTCACTGGAATGCCAAGCTTCTAAAAATTCTCTAGCATTCTTGTTATTTCCTTTGTCTAATATTTGAACGTTGTCCCAGTCGAATTGATGTCCGTGGTTGTCTGTGTGTAGTGAAATGAGGGAGTGTATATCATGTCTTTTGACGGCTAGCTTATGATCGTGGATACGAAGACGAAGGGGACGTCCACTTTGGCCAATGTAGTGTTTTTCACAGTTGTCACAGTTTATTTTGTAGATGATGTTGGTTTTGTCTTCTTTTGCTGTTGAGTCTTTTGGTTGACATAGAATTGAGTGCAGCGACTTTGTTGGTTTGTGTACGACGTCAATTCCTAAAGGTTTGAAGAGTCTTTTAGTGATTTCTGAGATATCCTTTATATATGGTAAGGCGATTTTCTTTGTGTTTTCCTTGGTGGCTTTTGTTTTGGTAGGTTGGCTTGGGGGTATATGTCCCTTGATGAAATTCCGGGGATATCCATTCTTTTGGAAGACGTCCATGAGATACTTTTCTTCAATTTTTCTTAAGGTGGGAGTGCTGCAGTGAGTCCTTGCTCTCTTGAATAGTGTTTGTATGCAGTTCCTTTTGTGTGTTATTGGGTTGTTGCTGTTGTAATTCAGTATTTGGTCTGTGTGAGTTGATTTCCTATAAACTTGAGTTTCTAATTCTCCTGTAGTTGTTCGCCTGACTAAGACGTCCAAAAATGGTATTTTGTTCTCGGATTCCTCTTCTCTTGTGAATTTGATGTCGTTGAAGACGTTGTTTATTAAGTTGTGAGTTTTGTCTAATTCGTTTCTTTTGATTATTACAAATGTGTCGTCGACGTAGCGTATCCAAATCTTGGGTTTGATCTTTGGTAGAATTATGTTTTCGAGTCTTTGCATCACTGCTTCTGCAATCAAACCTGATATTGGCGATCCCATGGGTGTTCCTTTGACTTGTTCATATATTTGGCCGTTGAATTGGAAGTATGTTGTTAGGCATAGATTTATGCATTCCATCCAGCTTGTGTGTTGCATTTTTGATTGTTGTGGAAGTTGTTCGTCGTTGCTAAGTAATTGCTCCATGGTTTCTTTTGCTAGTTTTTGTCCGATAGATGTCACCCAGTAAGGTGATGAAAGCTTCGCAAACTAACTATCCAGCTCAGAGAACAAAACCACATCAAAATATATATATATATAATTGTAGAAACAGAAGAGGAAATTATCGAAAAGGATATTCTTTGCTCAATTTTTTCTGAATGTCTGAATGAATATTTTCGCATTATCATAAATGTCTAGAAATGGGTGTTCAAGTGGTTGTATACTGCCATAAGTAATAACAAGTCTACTCACACTTCGAATGACGTAGACTATTAGACTATTTCAGAAAGTTAAACTGTATACTATTTCCATTTGAACACTTTTGTGCCCCTCCAACCACTTACTGCATACGTAAACCAACACAGAGATTCCCTGACATTAATAATCATGTTAATTTCACAATTTGCATATTCACATAATGATCAGTTGTAAACAAAATCAAGCCACGTCTGTGATTCAATGGTAGAACCAATACTTGAAAATGGTAGAATACTCGCAAATGTGACAGGCACGTGGCCCAGGGTTCGACTCCGGAAGGACGCACTCTTAAATCACACCTAGTCTACCCTTGCCGGTAAATAAGATCGGAAGGAAAAGAGGGAAGCTTGGAAATGAGGCTAACAACTTCATCCTATAAAAGTAATACCAACACTACTTAAACTTCAAAGACTGAAGCTGCGTCTTCGAAACGCAAAGGAATGAAGACAAAAAAGCATCAAAGTAAACTGTTGTCCAATTCACCAATATCTCGAGAACCGACCGACTAACCTAAAAGCTTACAAAGTCGAATGGCCAATAAACCGAAACAACATATAAATGAACCATGAGAATTTCATTAGAATTAAAATGTAAAGAATAACTAATGGAACACCTTAAAGGTAATGAAAGGGTAAAATAATGAGCATTGTAAACTACATACACGATCTGTCTATCACCTAAACATGTTTTTCATTCATAACACCTGACAACATTAAGAAGTACAGTCTTACTCTTACATACAAATGATTCCTACAGCAAAAAACGAGGAAAACATTTATGAAATTAACACAGTAACAACATGCTGAAGTAATAAACACACTTGGGAATGGTTTAAATAATTCACTGCTGAAGTCGGCTTAAACAAAATCTGGGATAAAAAACGAGTTTCCTCAATATTCCAGATTAATAAGTATCTAAAACTATGAAACCACTGGTCTATGGCTTACACTCCTAAACGTCTAAAAAGTAAACATCGCTAAAATATCACACAAAGCGTATTCAACAGCAAAGTCATTCATAACGACTAGATCACTAGTCTGAAAAGAGGCAAAGCTGCGGGCCCCGATGGAATGACTCCAGAGGTATTTAAGTACAGTGGAGACAGTTTACTATCTGCGTTAATTAAAGTACTACGCAGCGTCTGGGAATCAGAAAACGCCCCGTCGGACTGGTGTAAGTCAAGTAAGACAAATCTTCTTATCATAATCACAGAGGGATTAGCTCGACTAATACAGTATCTAAAGTCCTAGGCTCAATAGTCATGCGTAGACTAAGTGGTGCTCGGGAGGCACAAACACGAGAGAGCCAGGTAGGCTTTAGACCAGGAAGAGGGTGTATTGATCATAACTTCACCCTCCGACAGATTCTGGAACATAGGCATACTTACCGGCGTCCAACAATCATTATATTTCTTGACCTGGAGGAGGAATTCGATTCTGTCGACCGAGAGGTTCTCTGGAGATACTTGGCTGTAAAAGGAATTCCGAGAAAATACACTGCACTGATTAAGGCACTCTACTCGTACTCATACAGCCACGTGAGGGCTTACGGCGAGCTGTCATCTGAACTGATGACGACCAGTGGTGTCCGTCAAGGATGCCCATTATCTCCTTTTCTATTCAACTTCATCATAGATGTGTTAATGGACTTAACCCTAACTCACTTCAGTGACTCAGGGATTGACTTTCTACCAGGGAATAATCTCGTTGACTTAGAATATGTAGACGATATAATCCTTCTAGGCGAGGACGCTGACAAAATGCAGAGTCTTCTAAACACCTTGAGCTGCAATCTACGAATATTTAACATGAGATTTCCTCCCTCCGTCAAATGTAACATGATATTATAGGACTGGACTACATTAACTCCTAGCTTAGAAATAGGGAGTGAAGTGGTTGGTGGAGAGTGCTGACCACTTCACTTATTTGGGAAGTTGCATCATGCAACGCCAACGGGTTGATTGCTTGCGAAATCTCAGAACGGATACAGAGGGCTAGTTTCCCATACGCCAGTTTATGCCATCTCTGGCGTAGACGTGATATCTGGCTATAGACCCAAGAGCATGTGTACTGCTCATCAGTCCATCCTGTCCTTCTCTATGGCTGTGAGACAAGGCCATTGAGAGTGAAAGACATGAAAAGGCTGGCTAGCTGTCTTTGATCATAGGTGCCTGCGCTCTATCTCCCGTGTGTGAAGTGGTATAATAAATTGAGCAATATTGAGGTGAGGCATCGATCGAGTGCTAGGTAAGGAGGAGAAATCAATCAACGAGGCTGTGAAGTAGCTTCATCGATTGAGATGGTCAGGACATGTGTTACGTACGCCTAGTCATCGCCTTCCCGACTGACGGGCAATGTTAGGTGATTGATATAGGACCAGGTTGGAAAAGAGCCAGTGGTGGTCAGATCGAAGCATGACCTCATCAGTTAGTGAAATACACAACAGTTAAAGTCAGCCACGTAGAAAGGTGTAGACTTCCTGGTTGGGGTCCTCAGGACGGTAAAAACCAATGGAGGCTGGAGACAGTGAATTGGTGATATGTCTCAAAATCGTTCTCGGTTGCTGGCGCCGATGCATCCACTCCTTGTGACTTATGATTTCCAATGAAACTATATTCTTCTTCGTTATTACTATTTCTTTTGTCTCATATACCTGTTTACTGTCCCTATTTTGCATTTCTTTTTGTTTCTTCCCTTGCTTTGTGAGCAACATAGAGTGTGGAGACTTGAACTGCTGCACATAGGTTCAAAGTTCTATGTCGCAAAAAACAGACAGACTCGGTTTAAGATGAATACTGATAAGTAATAAAAACAAGTGGTGACGTAAACAAGCTTAGGCATTTTAGAGATAATGGTTACACCTGTTTCGTAAAGGTTATTTTATGATAGATAATAGGTGAGCACCAAAACTTAAAAATTTAAGAAAAAATACAGGTGCAAAATTTTTTTTTTTTTTTTTTATTTACAGCTTGATTCACCAAAATAAGCCCTTTAAGACGATTAAATCAAAATCGAGGAACTTACGTTTGAAGTTATATACAATCGTGTATCATTTTTCAGTTTGATTGAAATACAATTATCCATTTTACATACACGTGAAAATTCAGGAGAGATTTCTTTAATATCAAGCATTGAAATAAGCTGAAAATGATTATTTGAAATAAAGCAATTGAATAATTAGAATAAATATTGCATCAGTGATTCATCACACGATTAATTTTAAAAAAAACACACAAATTGACGAATTCCAAAAATGAAAGACAATCATTTCTACACAAAGATGACTCTAACTGCAAAATAGACACTCCATGATACTACCTCTAATAGTTTAATAATATATCCAACCTTCTTAGTTTAAACAGAATTAAGCGCATTTCTTCAGTAATGTGAAATACGATTTGTCAAGTCGATCAGTATGATTAGAGTCAAAACAAAAATGAAACAGAGCTAGCTAGCTGCTTTGAATATATTACTTACTATTCAGCTATTTCTTTGCAAGCTTTCAAACTATAAAAAGCATAGTTTCTAATAACAGTTTTACGTATGTTTAACGATTCAGTTAGTAAGAACAACAGCTATGCAGAATAATATGGTACCATCATCACTTATATCGTTGGCTTCTCATCAGCTGCTGCTTACAGCCTAAATAAATTATTAAGTTTATGTACAGAAAAGTTTTAACATACTTGCAAACTTTACATGATGTCAGTTGATAGGAGGTTCTGGAATGAGTGAACAGTGCTCAGAAAATTATGCTTAATATTAGTTTTTACCCCCAGGCAGTTCAAGTTTAAACAAAGTCAATAATATATGCATAAAAGTGTATGCAGATGAAGATTCAGTCAGTTATAAGAAATTATTTAAAAAGACAGTTGCAGCGAAGAAAATTTTTTTGATGAAGTCGTTAACTAGGCTGTACATTCTGTCTGTCCGTCTGTCTGTTTTCGACATAGAACTTTGCACAAATGTGCGGTAGTTCAAGTCGCCACACTCCGTGTAGCACGCGAAGCAGGAGAAGAAAGTACAAGAAAAGCATAATCGAAACAGTGAGGAGAGGTGTGAGACAAAGGAGTAATAACGAAGAGGTAGCAGCTTTCGGTCGGCTGTACATTCGTGTATTTACAATAAATGGGTGAGAAAGTTCCAGAACTATTTCCGATCAAGGGGCAAATTAATAAAATTACAAAGTGTAATAAGCAGGAAGATCAGATAAACATAGTAGGAATCTAATTATTGTGAAAATTGACTTTTTGGGGGCAATTAGGGATTAAAGATGTAGTAATAACAAAATAAGCAAGAAGTTCGGGAGAAAAACAGTAATACAGATAGGAATTGAAAAACGTAAAATATACCATAAATAAACAGGAAGATTGAATAAGAAAGGTAATAGAATAAACACTAGTGACTTTTTATAATGACCATGGTAGAGACAATAGGTGAACGTAGGTCTTTCGAATACACAGTGTGGGTTTAAAATTTTGGATCACCAGTGCCTCAGAGCTATGCCAAGACGTCTTGATTTCATTCCATTTAGGAGTTTTGATCGGAAGCCATTTAGGGGGAAATTTCTGCTTCAGTATCACTTTCAAATTCGATATTAAGCATAAGTATCTCTTGAGAGAGGGGGGGCGGCGACTAAGAGGTTTTCAGACGCTTTCTTTGTTTTTAGATTCTTGTTTATGAATCTAGGTGTGAATGCATTTCCTATCAAGATTCTTCGAAGAATTTGCAGTTCTTCGTCAATAGATTAATTCGTACACATTTTCCGGATCCTCGTGGAAAGAGAGTATACGAGGTTTATGTGTTTCTGCTTAGAACACAGCTCTGCAAATTGATAAACTCTCCATTTCACGATGGCTTCTTGTATATAGATCTCCTCAACGAGTTATCAACATTTCTTCGCAGTTGAACACCTTCATAAGAAATAACCTCAAGTTAATAAACGCCAAACAGTTCTGAGGTAGAAGATAAAACCTAGATTCAAGTCGATCACCAAAGTCATCAACAGAGAGAATAATCAGGGATCACTACAAAAATACGGTTTTTTTGCATATATACACACTTCCCAAAAACTCGCATAAAAGCGTATTCACATAACAAAAACGTTTGTTACAGGATTTCATCATGAGCTGACATTGGTTAGAGAACCATTGGAGAAGCTGGGAGTACTGGACAGATGTTTCGTCACACTAGTTTGGGACTCTTCGGCAGCACGCACCCACCGCCAGGGTTCGAACCCAGAAACTTCTGGTCTACAAGACGAACTTTTAGACCATTCAGCTACTGGGACTCTATCCAATGGCCCATGAATTCCAACTTCTGCCAATTCACGAAGACATTGGCCAGGGGTCGCGCTATGTCGTGAATTGACAGAAGTTAGAATTCATGGGCCATTGGATCGGGTCCCAGTGGTTTAATGGTCTACGGGCCAGCCTTGTAACCAGAAGGTCTTGTCTGTCTGTCTGGATTCAACATAGAACTTGGCACCGAACTTGGCACTGGGCTCGAACCCCAGTGGATACGTATTGCTGAAGAGTTCCAAACTAAGACGAAACAGTTTTCCAGTACTCCCAAGTTTCCCAATGGCTCTCTAACCGATGTCAGCTCATGATGAAATCCTGTAACCAATCAAATCCCTACAAACCAACACTTGAAAAACGTTTGTATTATAAGAGTCACTGCGATTTTAGGATACACGCGTGAAGAAGAGGGAAGTATCAAGAATCCTAATTTTTAACGTAAAAAATAATGAAAAGAAGGCTTAAAAAACTGAATCCAAACTTACATCAACACCTTTTTTAAGAATTAAACCATCTCTGGACTTGTTGTACAGTTCAAGACGATTTGGAAATAATCTCAAGTGTTTCCGCTGCCATGTTTGTAAAAATGGTCCACCCAATTTTAAGACTTCACCTTCAACAATACAATCTGACGCGACACCATCAACAGTAAGACTATCAGATAGTAAATTTCCTCCTGACCCAGTGTTTGAAACTCCACCACTCCCAGAGTTCGACAAGTTTCCAGTACTCGAAGTAACTCCACTGCTTGGAACATCAACTGTCTGTGTAGAACGTTGTCGAGCACGAGCTCTTTTAGCATCAATTTTGTCTGCTTCTTGATTTACAAAATCAAATACTGTTTCAGCTATTTCCAATTGCCAACGTTCAGACACAACAAGTGAGAAGTTTTGATACAATGCTTGATCAGCCTCAGTAAGCTATAGTAAAATTTTTAAAAAAAACATCGTGCTCTTTGATAATCAAGATAATCTAAGATAATCAAAGGAAATGAAATGACCTAAAAAAACACGTGGTATCTTTATAAAATGACAGAGGATTGGGTTACACAGGGTAATGTGAAATTAATTATGACATAAGTCAGCCTATAACGTCCATATATTACTTCATTAATTTAATTAAAAGAGTACGTTTAAAACCTTAGATGAAATTTTTTGGCAGCCAATGTAACCTATGACAGACAGACTCACAGCCTAATGATGACCTGTCTACCAAACTTTAGGCGACAGTAGCAGATCACGAATATTATCGGGTTCTCTGCTGAGTGTTTCGTCCTAACACAGTAAACCGAACATCGAACCACAATCCGTTAGTGTGGTAGATGAATGAAACTCAGGAAGTGAATATATTCCCGAGTTTGTGTTGAATGCGAGATAAAGCTGCTCGAACGTAATCGCGCCATGAGTCTTTGCGATGACCAAGAACAGTAGTGTATGACAAAAGGGGAAGCGAAGAAAGGAGTAAACAACATATAATACCCGTCAACTACTTCGGTTTATTGGACAAAATACTTGTAAAAATCCAGTGATACGAAAAATCATCTTCAAGAAGAATGAAACCTCTTGAAAGAAATGGTCGGAAAGTTGGACAGAACACTTCGAAGAGCAGTTGAACTGGCCTACAGACGAACTACAGTCATTCACCCAATACCTGCATAAGTGCAAGTGTCCAAAAAAAAGTCGAGGAAGCAAGAGCAGTCTTTGGTATGAAATGGGGAAATGAAACAAATCGCTGATGACATCTCAGTACCAATATAGGAGGTTTACTTAGCATTAGACAACTTGAATCATCTTCCACACAGGTGAGATAAAAAACTACTTATCATTGTGAATTTGTTCGCCCAGAATACTCTATGATCATGAGATATAACCGTAGAAATTGAGAGACATGAAAAGATCAGGAGTCCGACAATAGGTACACCCGTCCAAAGCCTCCAAAGCCTCAGGATGGTCGGGGGTGGGTGCCTTGCGCTGCGGGTTGGCCACCCCTCCGTACACCTCTTGAAATGCTCCAATATGACCGGGCGTCTTACATAGCCTCTCCTGAGGAAGTCCTACTCACTGCCTTTACGTGGCGGAGGTGTTTTTCACCGAAGTGAGAGGGCAAAAGCGGATGCCCGGCGCTCTTCACCGGGTTGACTGTCCATTGGATGACAGTCTAGGGGAGATGGCTAAACCCTGATTCCAAACCTCCAACGACTGGCGTATGAAGCTCACTGGCAGACGTATGGACAAAGGGCTTATTGGATCCCCTGGATGTTTGGCCCCATTCAAAAAGGCGTATGAACCGGACTCCGGTCACCGGCTGCCAATGGATAGTGGACTCCCTACTCCACTCCTACTGCCTTGTAGGTCACAATTGGTTGTGTAAAGGCTAAAGCTGCACTTTCAAACAAAAGGCCGAGCGATGTTGGGGACATCACTCGTACCTAATTCCCATGAAACTTCATGAACTCTCTTGGATCAGATCGCCGCGCCTGGGCAGCGATGATTCGAGATGTTCATGAAGCCGGCTCATCCTCCCGTAGGAGATAGCCAAAGTAAAAAAAAAAACACCCGTCCAACCTCCCATCTAGGTGAAGCCTTATGCTTAGGAATAGAGTATTAGGTAGGTAATGGGAGGAGGTCAGTGGACGAAGCTCATTCGATCGAGAAGACTAGAACATGTATCTCGGAAGCCAAGCCATCAATACCCTTGACCCGGAATGGTAGTTGATATACGATTGGGCTAAAAAGATACCTCAGGCGATCATACCGAAACAGGGTATTTTCCATAGAGTCTTTAACTATTGGTTTGAGCCATGCAAGGAAGCTTAGATTGTCTTGTTTTGGTCCTAAGGATGCTGGGGAACGATTCCCCAAAACCCCCAGTTACATGGCTCTCTTTCCCGACATATATATATATATATGTACCATTATTTATCGGGTTAATTCGCTTTCCTGTATTCACTCAATGTTCTAAATCATCTCACCTTTATGCCTTTGGTATCCTCTTCATCAAATGAGCCAATGTCGAAAGCATCTGCAGCGTTTACTTCACCTCTAGGTGGAATTAACGGTGGTGGATACTTTTGTAAATACACTTGTTGCCAATCTATTCCTTTAAAGAAGGGATGTTCACGAACTTCCAAAGATCTAAATATATAAATATAGCAGTAGAAGAGAGAACAAAAGTTAACCTACACATAGTGTACTAGTAAGCAATAAAAAAGCACTAGAACAACACAACTCTAAATGTATAAAACAAAAGTATACAATAAAAGAAGCAAGTTTGGTTAGGAAACGCACACACACACACACCATAAACACTAGTTTGTCTTTAATGAAGATTTCTTTTTTAAATGATGGTTAGAGAGTAACAGATGTAGCGCGATAAGATAGTGAACTCCTTTTCTTGATTGGAAATTTTAAAAAAAATCAAACTGTAAAATTAGCTGTTAAAATAAGAAGAAATAAAATCTGAAAAACCAAACAAAGTCTGGGGAACACACAATTTAAAATATTCCAACTATAATATGTGTGCGCGTGTGTGTGTGCGTGTATATTGATTACCTGGTATGAAGCTCTCTTTGCCCTATATAGGAGGAATATGAATAAAAAAAATAGAAAGAATTCAGTAAGCCAAAATAAAAAGATAAATATTTTTCTTAGATTTGGAAAGCGATTAAATATGATGGTGATGATGATCATGATCATGATGATGAGGATAATGAATAGGCCAATTTTGTGGGACGTGAAATTGATTTTTCAAACCAATTTTTAAAATGGCTGCTTATAAACGTATTTTAGCATGGGGTGAAAGATAGCCAATAAATGAATGCATTAAATACATATGGGGAATAATTTACAGCTTATATATATATATATACTATCCATTGGCCAGGGTATATACCGTAGGTATAAAGAAAAAAGTGTACTTTATTGCTGTGTTGTATGAGACAGTGTGTGTATGAATTACTGACATATTTACAGAATTAATGAACATACCACACACACACACACATCTCTGCGATTATCTTCCCTACTACACGTCTCTCTTTTAACCGTTAAATATTTCCTCTATGCAGTTGCAAAATCCACTAAAAGATCATGAATAAAAAAAGACTAAATTATTACGAAACACGGATACAAAAATAAAAGGGATTAATTGTAAAGATATTCGCTAAGCACAGAAATCTCTCTTCATTCAAGTGAAGATAAACACTTGTGATTATCTATCTCTTAGTTAAGAGGTTGCAAAGCAGCATGCTGAAAATAAACAATATAATATGTATACATATATCTCATGAATTCTAATGAAACATTGAAACTTATAACATAGCATAAAAACGAAAAGTTTATAAAGCTAATCATTCATGCATTCATCATTAACAGTCCCCTGGAGCAGTAATTTCTTTTTTTAGCCTAAGGCATAATATATATGTATATGCCTTTTCATTATATGTTACTTGATTAATACAATCATCAAAAAGCCATACCTCGGAATGATTTACATCGATGCTGGAGTGGATTTATTCACCGCCTTCAAAATACTTCATATCACACACACTGCAAACTAGTTTTTTACTTAATTATATTTCCCTTACTTAAAAAAAATACTTTCCACACTCGAATACTAATATTATTGGTAAAACAAGAAGCATAACAATCAGTGTGAACGTCTTAACAAAAAAAACTCTTAATAATCAATGAGATTTTTAAGAGATTCCATAATAGAATTACGGCTGTACTAATATAACCATCACGTACAAATGTTAAGTTATAATAATAGGAAAAATTATTCATCACTCCAGTTACATTCATCATAACATTGTGTACTGGGCCTCTTAAATTTTAATATGAACTCATGTACAGATTTTAGAGACACTTGAAAGTAGATGACTCATCAATAGAGACGATAATTAGTCACCTAGATGAGTTTATATACATGGGAACCAGCTTAACTCATATCTATGACAGTTACTACATGTTATGAGCAATTAAGAGACTGAGCATTGTTTTTTTTTGGTCTTATTCCAATTGATTTGTTTTGTGAAAATATACTTTCCCCCAGTCAATCAATGCGTTTTTTATGACATGAAGCTATTCTGATTGGTTGTTTAAGGCCCTTTGTTAAGCCGTTAACCTTGACGACTATCATGCTTTGTTCACTATGATGGCATTTTATTTGTAAGCTGTTTCAGAGTCTGACAACTTGGAGTGGTGTACTAAAGAACTGCAACTACTACTACTACTAATGTGCTATGTTCTCATCTGATGACCAGCCCTACAAACAAGAGACATGCATGTGTCATAAGTCTTCTTTCTTTCTCTCTCCACAACAAACCGAGAATTATCAAACAACTTAAAATCATAATGCCCAACCACTGTTTTTCAACTTCCACTCTTTAAAACAGGGGAAAACTAATACATACATACACACAAGGATATAAAATGGACAATAAAATTAGAAAAACATAATAAACTAGTAAAAATGACAAAAAATGAAATTTAAGAAAAGCTTTTCATTATTTGTTGTAGACAGACAAATATACATTAATACAACTTTGGAATGCGCTTGAATGTATACGTCAATCTACTGACATTATTGCCAGCGTCTTTATTATACTAAAAATGTGATTAAATAAAACATATGGTTGCCAGTAAAAACATCATCGAATGACTACTACTAAATGAAAACAAAAGTTATAAGGAAAAAGGAAACCAGAGTTTCAAGATAATATAGGCTGTGAAAGTGAAATTCACAAATTAAAGTTAATGAAACTAATTCAAAGCAGTGATAGTACAGGATTGCAGAAAACAGAGCATCAACGAGAAAATTTGAAGCAGTTCACTTCCTTCACTTATCTAGACAGCATTGTTTCAATCACAGGTGACGCAGAACGGATGAAGACGTCAAAATCAGAATCAGAAGGGCAGGATGTACTTTCATCAATCTGAAATCAGTTTGGAAATTTTCTGCACTCCGCAGCATAAAGAACAAGATTCGAACTTTAAACATTAATGTCAAGTTAGTTTTTCTACATAGGTCAGAAAATCGGCGAACGCATCACGAAGGGCATTTCTAACAAGTTGCAGACTTTCACCTACAACTGCCTTCACTTCATTATTAAAGATCAAATGGTTAGTCAGAAAGGGTCAGCAACAAGAAACTATGGGAACGAACTAACCAAAAGCTATCACTCAAAAAATATGTCGAAGGAAATGGAGATGGATTGGACACACGCTGAGGAGACTGACTGTTGAGTGACGCTACACTTGACGCAAGCCTCGAGTGGAATCTGAATGCGAAACGACGAGTGGATAGTCCTAGGGTAATATGTGTGTAAAACATGGGCACTGTGGTAGTAAGTAATTCCATATTAGTTTGTTTATTAGATAGATCACATAGTGAAACATTATTATTTACTGGATAATAATAATAATCCAGCAAATAATACTGTTTCACTGTGTGATATATCTAATAAACAAACTAATATGGAAGTCCTAGGGTAACATGGAGGAGGTCGTGCGAGGAGGAGACGAGAGATTATGAGCACTCGTGGGTTTAACTAAAGAGGATAGCAGAAAATAGAATAAAGTGGAGATTTGTTGTTGAATCCCTATGTTCCACTCGGAACCAAAGAGAACAATAAATATAATAAAAGTATTAATAAGGTGTGAAGTATAAATCTTCAGGTATCCTAGTCTCGAAGTACGTGAATATCTATTTCACCAACGGGAACACATTTACTTTTCAAATAACACTTTTTGAAAAAACCAAGGGTAAACAAGTTGTCTAAAACTGTGTATTTTTAAGTTAATAAAACTAATTTTTTTCAAAATGACCTACCCACGCCCCATACATCCCAAACGGTTGCATACGTCACGTGCCAGTAAACCTTCTAGAAGTGATCGCATTTCACAAGACATACCATCAGGAATATCAAGGCTCTAAAAAAGCGAAACATACTGATGTTACAAAAAAGGCTGAGTTCCAAACAATACCATAGGAAAATAATCCTACTACTACGTTAATCGTGACTCTAGTCAATTTATACAAAAATTACAGCTCAAGATGCGCTTGTTTCTATTCACTGATCAGATAAAACGGACATGGTGGACCAAAACCCGTTGATAGCTTTATTAATACACACAGTATAAGGTGTATTTAGCTTTACCTCAAACAATATTAAGTAGTACTACCAACAAAATAACATCATCTACTGCACACATCATGAGAAACAAACCTGGATATTTAACACTGATGTCACGTCAATCAGTGCTTCTATGTGGTTCACAGACTTAGTAGGTGCGTCACAAGAAGCATTTCCAATAGGTTGCAGACTTTCATCTACAGCTGCCTTCACTCCATTATTGAGGATTAAATGGTCAGCCAGAAACGATTAGCAACAAGACACAATGGGAACTAACCAAGAAGCTATCGCTCAAAAATACGTCGAAGGAAATGGAGATGGATTGGACATACGCTGGGGAGACCTCTGAGTGACACTACAAGTGATGCAAGCCCTCGAGTGGACCCGAATGGGAAACAACAAGCAAGGATTCGAGGGTAACATGGAAGAGACCGAGGTGAAGAGAAAATCTCACCGTATGGTCAATCATACAACCAGTCAAAAAAGACTGCAAAAAAAACATAGTAAAGTGGAGATTTACATCTGAAGCCATATATTCCTCTGGGACCCCAGGAGAATAGTCATAATCGGAGAAAAAACTAACGCAAGAACTCATAAACATAATGCCTGATATTATATGGGTCACCCAGATCTATTAAATACTGTACCTACAAAATCAAGGAAGAGAGAATAATGGTGAAATAAAAAAAATAAGCGTTGCGTGACTATCTTGAATACACGTAATAATCTGAATCCCAAACACAGTATTGTATCAGATACACTTTATTAAGCAAACACCGGATACACTGACATTTTGAGAATAAAATTTCCTCTTAAACAATAGGTTACCTAAGATATATATGATATATACTATCTTTCTATAGTTTGGTTTGTAAGGATTAGTTATGTTTTACGAGTTGCTCATGGATTGATATCATTGAACCATTGAAAACCAGGGAGTACTGGAGTACTAGGATGAAACAGCAGCTGTCCAGTACTCCCTGGTTTTCAATGGTTCTCTGACTGATATCAGTCCGTGATCGACTCGTAAAATATATACTATCGTTGACTCAAAAAGAAATAGAATTATTATAGGTCCATTTCAGTCGCTTGCAATTGCTATTCACCATAGAATAAACACGGGAGGGATATGTACATACTTCAATTTTGCAAGATAATCATCAGCATAACATAAACCACATGAATTCCACCCTTGCAGATAATCAAGACTGCTGTGACGAAAAAAAGGTGAAATAGACTGTGTTCGTAAGTGTAGGAGACAAAGTGCACTATTTTACCTGTGTAAAGCAATCAGATATAGAGCCAACAGCAACTTTCAACATTTCGGTGAGTTCTAATCGTATGAGTCTGCTTAATTCATATCCTCAGTTGTACTATGTGCATACATATCACTAACATCAATTTCCCAATTATTCAGTCAGTCGGTGGCCCAGTGGGGTTCGATCCCCGGCCGACGCACTCCTTTACCTCGCTAAACCAGAAATAATGCTGGTAAACAAAGCATGAGGCTAGCGACGCCATCCTGTAAAATTAAACACTGCTACAGAAACTTCAAGCCACTAGCTTGGGGCCCTATGTTCCACTGGGAACGTGAAGGAAAAAAACAATTAGCAAACAATTAACAAAATCATGTCATAACGTGAATACTTACCATGGTCATAGTCATTCTGTCAATTTCGTGTTTATCCTTTGTTTTATGATGTCTGAATGGACTGTGACCTCTTAACAGTTTATAAAGCATACAACCGAGTGAAAACCAATCAGCAGAAGAGTCATACGGGCAGCCTTTCTGTAATACTTCAGGAGCCATGTAACCGTGTGTGCCAACACTAGCATGAGGTTTACGACGCGAAAAATCACATGCTAATCCCAAGTCACTAATTCGAACATGGCCGTATTCATCCAAAAGTATGTTAGCTGGCTATTAGGAAAGAAAGGAAGGAAACAACAAATCTTATTGGAGATAAACCAAGGAAACATGAATAATGTTTAGTAATCAAGAATCAATAAGAAGCTGTCATTATACAACATAGATCATTGATTATCTAAATTGATCATTATACATAAGATGAAAATTAAGAACTGAGAGAAATAATGAATAGACTCTCATTTACATTTGAATACTACAAATGTTCACGAATAGTATAATTAACACTCTGAGCGGAGACCACATTTTTTGGTATTCGAATATGTAAGATAATGCTGCAGGATTGATCTGCACTGACTCCTAGTAAAAAGATAGGAAGTGAATTTGTTGAGTTTGTTTATCAAAGCACTTTATTTTGGGAAGTTGTATTAACTATTATGAACTTATCGCCGACGAAATCTTACTACAGAAACAGAATGTTCATGTGCTATTTGTCAGTTTACATCATCTCTGACGCAGTCGTAATATTTAGCTACCGATCAAATGATGTGTGTACTGCGCAGCAGTTCGCTCTTTTGTTAAACGTGACTGTTGAAAGCAGAAGACATGAAGATACTATCAATCTTTCAGCACAAGTGTTTGCGTCCTACACCCCATGTTAAATGATAAAATATGGTGAGTAATATTCAGACCAGATAAACAGTGAAAGTTGGGAAATTACATTCATAAAGGTGGCTGGGACAGGTATCAAGCATGTCAATCCATTGCCTTCCTCAATGAGCAGTGTTAGCTGACATAAGATTAGATTAGAAAAGAATTAGGGGTGGTTTTATCAGAACGTGGCATCAATCCATGAAGTCTTTGACAGTTGGTTTAAGCCACGTTGGGGGGTGTAAACTATCTGGTTGTGGTCCTCAGGATATTAAAGATCAATGACTTGAGACTATTGATGATAGGGATTAAAATCGTTCTCGATGATGCGCGAATTCATCCACTCTTCATAGTCTCCCAAATCTACAAAGTCTCTATGTTTCTTCATGTGCTTATTCTTTCTTCCGTACATTACCGCTTATTATAGTACATTTGAATTCCTTTTTTCCTTCTTTCGTCAACCTATGTGTGCTACATGAAGTGCAGCAGCTTGAACTGTGCAAGGTTTTACGTTAAGACCCAGTCAGTCACAAACTCTCAGTATTTTATTACACATCTCTCTGACAAGAAGAGTCTCTTACCCTTCACTTTCACGCTGGAAGTAAGATAACTATTTGTGTACAAGAACACATAAGTCATGATTTCCCCTACAGTTAAACAGTATCGCTAAATCATAATGTAGTCCCACATTTATAGTGTGGTCACACAGTGATCATCCATCTAGTCCAATTTAACAGTCACACATAATGCATAATACCACTGCTGAAAACAACAAAGGTGCGACAACCTATATTTGTCACACTTATTTAGTAAACGAACGCTTTAAAATTGAATAGACTAATTGTAGTAGAACAAACATAGCCATCACTGCTATAATACAGCGGTTTCAAGTACAACAAACGGTCTATTTCTTAGGGGATTAAGAAATTCCTATAAATGTAAAATAAATAAGATGAACAACCTCATCACAATTAGGCCATAGGAAGTAGAAAGTCCACCATAAACAATCTCCAAAAACCAATGATGAAAAGTTGTACGTAAAACAGATAAATCAACTTTATAAATGTGAAGTAGTTTATTAGCCTAATAGTTATTAAGACAAAGTGTATGAGGTATACTGCGCTAACAAGAAGACATTATGCAGTAATAGGGAAATATTGTTCCCTTGGATTTCGAGTGGAACATAGGGCTAAACAGCACATATCCACTTCGTCCTATTCTCTGAGGTTCTCTTCAACTGGCCCACCGACTGTCCAGTCATTCATCTCTTCACACAATCTCCTACATGTCACCCTCGGAGGTCCCACTTGAGGGCCCGCGCGTGATATCATTCGACAGTCTTCTCAGAGTGTGTCCGATCTATATTCATTCTCTTCGACATATGTGCCGATCAATAAGTTCCTGATTGGTCCTTAGCCACAGTTTCCTGTGTTAATTCTTTCTGGCCGTTCATCTGATCTTCAATATAGAGCCAGAGAAGGCAGCTGCTGATAGTCTATAGTAGCCTGTTGGAAAATGCTTTTTGTGAAGTACGCACTAAGAACTGACTGGATCAACATTAGCGTTGAAAATCCGAAACTTGTTGTTTATTCAGAGTACAAAAATTTTCCGAACCGAGTTCAGATTGATGGAGGTCTGTCTACCTTGCCTTTGCGATTCTAGTTTTGATATCCTCATCCGTGCAATCCACCTGTATTGGAAACGATGACGTCTAGATCAGTGAATGAAGTTACCTCTTTCAAATTTATTCCGTTGATAGTGATCGGTGCTTTTTTTTCTTGTTGTTGGTTGGTTCTCTTCATCACCTGCATCTTCTCTATGTTCATTTGAAGTCCTATCTTTACTTCTTCTATTAAGTCTTTCTGTCTTTCTCTACCTGTTTTCGACCGATATACAGCAGTTCAAGTCGCCACACTCCATGTATCACACAAAGCAAGAGAAGAAAGTAGAAGAAACGCGAAATGGAGACAGCATACAGAGATACAAGACAAAAGGAATTATAATAACGAAGAAGAATATAGTTTCATTGGAAATCATAAGTCACAAGGAGTGGATGTATCGGCGCCAGCCATTGAGAACGATTTTGAGCCATATCACCAATTCACTGTCTCCAGCCTCCATTGGTTTTTACCGTCCCGAGGACCCCAACCAGGAAGTCTACACCTTTCTACGTGGCTGACTTAAACTAACTGTTGTGGATTTCATAGACAGGTGCCATGTTTTTGTTTGATCGCCTCCAGCCTGACCCTATGTCAGCTAACACTGCCCATCAGTCGAGGAAGACGATGACTAGGCATATGTATCACATGTCCTAACCATCTCAATCGACGCAGCTACTTCACGGCCTCATCGATTGATTTCCCCTCCCTACCTAGAACTCGATGAAGCCTAACCTCAATATTGCTCACCTTATTATACCACTTCACACACGGGAGATAGAGCCAGGCACCTATGATCAAAGACAGCTAGCCAGCCTTTTCATGTCTTCCACTCTCAATGGCCTTGTCTCACAGCCATAAAGATTAAATCTTTGCACATTAAATAAGTCTTTAGTGTGCAAAAGAAAGTAATCCGAAGGAAACAAAATTTCTCTCTGTACATTTCATGATAGTGGTTTCTTGTGAACACATTTCATTCAACATTATGTACATCACAACAGTGAAATAAGCATAAAGCTAAACAATAGAGCAACAATAGTCATGACGACATTACTAAAAATCTACTTCATTTTAACAATCAACTAATTTACTTTTTATGTTCACATGTGACTAATCAAATAAAACAAAATATGAAGAAAGACACATATGACGGTGTTGTTTAATAAATTTTATTTATGTCAGTTAATGTTGCGTAATTCAAAAAGAAAAATCAGTCAGACATTTCAAAGAGAACAACAAAAACAACAACAGAAACATCAGATGCCTAATTCTTCGAGCTTACGTAATCATACATATTTTTGTTGATTATATTACTATTACTGTCGATATCAACTTTAATAATAAGGCTTCAGTGTACTGACAATACACACACCCCGTTTGAACAATGTAAAATTTTGGTTATCCTACGACTAACTACTACTGCATTAGTGAATGCATATATATATAGGAAAGAAATACACAAGGAAAACGTTATTCACCCTCAGATATTTTTATTTCGCTTCGATTATTCCATTAGGAGGAAGTAATCATTAATTTTTCATAAAAATCAATGATTACATACTGCCTAGAAGAAGAAGAAGGCCGGCTGGCTGGCCTACGTACGTACGTAGAGAGGGGAAGAAAATGGCTAACCAGTAAACAGTAAAAATGTTTTGCTTTGTTTTTTGTTTGTCATGACAAAAAACTTGTAAAATACACAATGAACAAGAGATAATTCAAAAGAGAGGGAGAGAGAGAGAAAATTGCTTACCTTTAAATCTCGATATACAACAAATCTATTATGCATATGCTCCAAACCAAGGATAACTTCAGCTGCATAAAAACGTACTTCTGATTCAGAGAAGATATTATGCTGTGTAAGATGATAGTGTAGATCACCACCATTCATTAAATCTAATATGAAGCATAATTTTTCTGGAGTTTGAAAGGCGTACGTCATACAGACTATAAAAGGACAACCATCCTATTTGAGAGAAAAACAGAACACATTGTAATGGGAGTATCATACATACACTAGTTAAATACAAAAAAGGATTTAAGTTTTGTCACGTATTGACATCAGTTAGGTGACCACTGAAAACAAAGGAGTACTGAAGAGCTGTTTTTTCTTAGCTTGGACTCATCACCAGCACGCACCTACTGGGTTTCGAATCCAGGACCTACATGTTACAAGGCGGGCTCATAAACCATTCGTAACTACAATCCGGCTCAAAGACAGTCCTTGAATTCTAAGTTTTACCAATCCCTGATTTCATCGCCGCCACCAACCAATGTTATGGCGAGTACCTGTCCTCACATTCGACCGGGTGGACCCCACTGGTGACGACTTCTCACTAAAATTCCAAGCAACTTCACTCTATAGCCAGTCGCCAGCAAGCGTCAGATTATTTTTCAAGAGTTTCTTGGCTAGATTTGTTTCAAATTTGATCACGAACTGCGTACTGCCGATGAGCCCCAGACTAGGACGAAACGGCTGTCTAGTGCTCTATGGGGTTCTCAACGGTTCTCTAACTGATATCAATCCGTGATCAAACTTGAAATTAATCAAACCCCAGAAAAAATCTTGAAAAAAAATTTTACTGGCTTACAATTGTTAAAAAATATGAAGATGACGAAAGTATGTAGGTCAGTCAAGACTAAAAACGTTTATGTATGTCTATATCTGCATGGATTGGGGTGTGCTACGGAAATACAGTGTCATATCCTCCTCGAAAAATAGCAAATATCTAGACAAAAGCAAACATAGCCTCATTTGCATCCATTCAAAGTCAGTTGATAAAAGTAACAAAGTCCGTACACATTTACGTTTATATGGTAATGTATGTTATGTTATTCGTCAACACACATGAAAACAATTGTCTGGGAGATTCATAGTTCATTGTAAGATATCAGAAACATTTCACGCCACTAATAACAATTTGGATAACCTAGATATCACTAAGGCGTCATATTTAGTATACAGAACAACGATAGTCAAATAAAAAACTGATCAGCCTACCAATACGCCGACTAATAACAAGAATAACCTGCACTTCGGTGTTTATTTCAATTTTTAAAAATGATACACTTACAGAAGAGGAAATTCAGTAACACTTTACCTAGTCTATTCATACTAAAATTGCAATAATATAGCACATATAGCGTATAGTATAAACAAATATTTGCAATACATTTCCCTATTCCTGCTTCGGCCAGTATTAGATATGTTAAATTCATCATATCATCCTGTAGCCAAATGGTTAGTCGAACTCTTACAGCCTCTTCATACCGAGATGGTGAAACATAGTGTAAGGGATACTTCTTATGGATTTGTTGAAATGATAAAAGATTTAAATGTTGACAACAAATTTATAATATCATTTGACGTATCTTCCTTATTCACCAATGTACAACTTATGGAAACAGTGGACTTTGTATGCGAAGAACTCAAAAGACGTAACATCGATGTTGGCATTCCTATATCTTTAATGAAAGAGCTTCTCTTGAAATGTACTATGAATGTCCACTTTTTATTTAATAAGGAACTATATAGACAAATCGATGGTGTGACAATGGGGTCACCACTAGGACCCATTCTAGCCAACATTTTCCTTGCCAAACTAGAGAATGGGCCTTTGAAAGATGGTATTAATGAACTTGAATTTTATTGTCGGTACATGGATGATACTTTATTGATTATGAAAAATGAGAAGGAAGCAAAGAGCATCCTGGATAAATTTAACGAGGTACATCCTGCAATAAATTTTACTATTGAGAAAGAAAAAGACTTTAGTATTTCATTTCTAGACGTCCTTATGATCAGAAAAGAGGATGGCACAATAAGAAGTGCATATAGAAAACCTACATCAACGGATCAGCATTCCCTGCTGCTGAATTACGCTGTATCTTTAAAACCATTCCTATTATGCGTACGGGAATAAAAGACAAGCTGCCTAATTTCTCCTCTTCCATGTATATCTACCAATTTAACTGATCCTGTGGAGCCGGTTACATAGACCGTACAATTAGGTGTATTTCTCGTCGAATTTCCGAACATCACCTTGTTTGGTTAAGCAAAGGACAAACAAAATCTATTTGTAGCGCTATTCTGTTTTATCTTGTGGATACAGAACACAAGATTGACGTTAACCATGATTTCAGGGTCATTTACCGTATACCTACGAATCTCAATTTTGCCTTAAGAGTTCGATTACAAAAATATTGCTGAGGCTGTGGGGATCCATATTAACAAGCCTAATTTATGCATCCAAAAGAAGTTAGTTCAGACATTATCATTACCTTGGCCATCCAGGTTTGAATAATCCTGAATTTTTGTGGAATTTCCCTAATTTTAGTTGATATTCTATTTGCTACTATATCTTTATTATTATAATTTAAGCATCTTTAATGAACTGTAATTACATCGATCTCACTTCACAAATCGATATTATTTAAAAAACACTAATATTGTTATTGACTACTATTCTAGAATATTCTGTGTATATAAACATACATATATAATTGTAGAGCCAGAAGAGGAATTTATCGAAAAGAATATTATTTGCTCGATTATTTCGTGTTTTATGGATGTCCGAATGAATATTTTCGCTAAATATAAATTGCATACAAACGAAATTTATGGTGGTATAAACTGTTAAGAAACCGTATCCACTTCTTTACTAAAACAACTGCTGAAATCACATAGTACAAGAAATCTGTGTGTACATGAAATCTGCCACCAATCAAACTGATAAGATTTGAACCCCTCTTTCAACCGCTGATAAAGGGCAAGGGGATTGTTGGTAAGCCAACAAGTTAATAATCACCACCAAAACAATATTCGAAGCGTAACCATAGGAATGGGACAGAAGGAACAATAAACCGAGAAAATTTAATTCAAATGGGTGCATCCGATTTTAGAACGACCAAATAATTATTTATTAAAATCCACTAGTTTTTGGACAAAACTGTATTGTTCATACAGTCAACTTAGAAAACTGCATAAACAATCACGAATATCTGAAGTGGTATTGGAAAGTTCTACGTCGCAACCATGCATATAGTTATGCCAACTCAAAATTTCCTAAACACCATACTGGAAACCACACTGATTTCATTCTTTCATATGTTCCAGAAATGAAGAGAAATACAGCAAAATGCTCCTCTGAGTTATCTGAGTTGAGATTTGATGAACACTGAGTAAGCATTTATCGACTATGTCACTATGGTTACAGAGAAGCGCATACAAACCATCCATTGACGTTTAATGTAAAGTTTAAAGCTACAGAAGTACAAAGCGAATTTCCAGAAGGTCCTACGAAAAGTGTGTCCAATCATTTTTCAGTAACTCCGATCTTCTTAACAACTGGAGACCTTATCTGTCAAGTCGAAATTCTGAGACGTGGACCAATACATAAATAGGCTCCATTCATATATTGAGTGTGACAATTTGATCAGTCGAACTAGTGATCTTGTTTTGAATTTATAAAAGACCGTATTTCAAAATAATCAAAACAACTGACCAATTTATACTCTATCCTCTAACCTAGTTTGTTCAAATCACTTCAGCGATATCGCCTTGCATTTTACAATTCTTAAAGGTATATTATTGAGTATTTACTTGAGAAAACAACGGTCAGGCCCTGTAGTTTCACACCACTATCGTTTTGAAACATACTTAACAATCTCACTATGAGACAGAATATTGACATCTACAGTGATATTAGCACTCACAGTAAAAGACGATGGACACACACACACAGCATTGTATCCCTCAGATCAGTTTCTCCTACATATCCGAGTAATTAATGAATGTTACTCAGTGATGAAGGCGTTATTCACTCCCTTCACCTTTAGAACCTATCGAATACCACGTAATGTACTGGGACAGAGTAGAAATTCAATAGGGTACTCCCCACACTCCTGCTAAATTACTCTTACAACAGCTTATATCAACACTACTCTACTTGTGTTAACAGTTGACTCGATGACAGAAGCTACCAAAACGAAAATATTGGAAGACATTTATAACCTAGATTATGAGGGGAACAAATCAACGTCTCTTCTTTTCCATCAGTTATACAAACTTTAAAGGGAAATATGGACCAAAAACACAACATAATCTTCTAACTAAAAAACTTACTCCTGTACTGACAAGTGAGAGCATGACACGCTCGTTAAGAGCCAAGTCTCTCCACCCTTCATTTTGATTCTTTTCTTATCCAAGCATTTCATAGCATACCTATATTAAAAGGGAAATATTCGTCTGGGTAGTTAACAATGTCTATATAATATTTCGGTCTACCACTCAAATGACAATTTTGTGATAATAGCCTTGCAAAATATGAATAAATCTGCAATAGCAATATGCAGAGTCATACTTCAATATGCTCATCTCTATCTGGTTGGGGGCACAATGTCACCTCACTTCTGTTCACTACAGAACTAGACAAGAGTCGATATTTATTGGTGAATTTATTTTCTGAAATTTTCCGAGATATTCCTATTTCTTAATCTCAGCTGTCAACGGACTTTTTTTTACTTTTATTATCTTCATTTTATTCATTCTAATTAACAATATTCTACATGACGTAATATCTATAAAATAAACTCAACAGCTATGGCATTCTGCGTAGAACTTAAATATATAGTTGAATTAAATTCACTGGAACTACTTTTTTACACTCTCTCGCTATGAATCTAGTCTAGAAAGATAAAAAAGAGAATATGGGACTTCATGTATATTTATAGTGCTTCATAAAACAAGGATATCTGAACCACAAAATAAAATGATTCAAAATCATTCTCAGTGGTAAGTACAGATGTTTTCACTCCTTCTTCATTATGAATAATCCTACGATGCCCTCATTAGTTTCCACTTAAATAATTATTCTCTCTCTCATTTACATTATCAAGCATTGTACTTTCGTTACATTTATTTTCTGTACTTTTATAAGTGCCATAACAAAGTGTGACAGATGTGGATTGCTGAACTCTCATGCAAAGCTCTATGTAGATAAGTCAATCAATGGATTTCAGTATGTGGTTATAAGGGCAATATAATCCACAGTAGACAATAAAAAAAACATTTTTGAGGAGACGATAAGGCATCACAGTTTACTACTAACAGGTACAAAACTTTATACAGGAAAATGCAATCATTATGTTAATTTAGTTGTCAGATATTTCATACAACGAAACAGTAACACTAACTAAATTATACTTCGAACCCTATCAATTATCAAGAAACTACGGTCTTTAGGTGTCTGTTACACCCCTAAACGTTTCCTTCACATGAATTGCAGAATATTGTAAGTATCTTTTTTTTAAATTTCGAATTGTCTCCCCTTCAGCTACTAATTTTAAGTGCTTTCATTTTGATTTATCTTATTGTGTCTGCGTGTGCACAGATACGACTACGTCTTTCGCCGGACTCTGTACCCTTCTATGATAACTTTTAATTAGCTCAGATTTTATATGCACACGTCCTTTATAACACAAAACAGTGAGAGATTTGGACTGTAAAACCTCTTTAAAAAGCATTTAACAGTGAATAACAAAGTTCGTTCAAAATGTCATTCAGTCTGCATTTTACATTATGCTAAGTACTCAACAAACCATCACAAAAGTATGGTATCATATCCAATTTTTACTACCTATCTAGTACCTAATGTATCGGTGGTTCAGCGGTAGAATGCTCGCCAACTACATACACACACAAACACATAGTTCGAGTTCGATTCTTGACTAACTGTAAGAGCGGAGGTTGGGTTTTGGGGCTAGCTAAATGGACTTCAAAGCCTAAGTCCGAAGTCCTAGCTTCCATTCGACACGCCGAGGAATGAAACCAAAGAATAGTACTTCTTGTATGAAACACCACACCAACGTCTAACCGGAGTGTCAAGAAGCTTAACAACTGTAGAAGTTCACCAAAATTCTCTTTGTTATTTCAGTTATTCAGAAACAATGAAATAGTGTTTGGACTTTATTTTAGCATACATCACTAACATGAATAAGCATAAAGAGTAAAAACTATATCGTGCCTTATTGTCGTGTTTTTTATTTGAGCAGTTTTGTAGTCCTCTAGAGTGTCTGCCTCACTTTACTAATTCCTCGACAACACAAAGCAAAATTTTAAATAACAGATACTTACATTTTACCTGTGTCTGCTTTTCGACATCCATAAACTTCACCAAAACCACCACGCCCAATGATACGATGTACACTGAAATCATTAGTAGTCAGCTAATACAATTTAATATAAAGTATAAGATTATTTAGTTTTGATAGGAACATACATTAATGTTTAATTCCAAATTCTTCCATTGACAAAATCGTGTGAATTTTTGACTATAAAACAGATAAGAGTAAAGAAATGTGAACTTGCCTTCGAAGAAAGTTTTCAAATACATCACCACGAAGAGATTGAAGAATTTCATCTATATATAACTAAAAGGAATAAATATAAATAATCTGGGGGGAAAATGTAAACTCTTACAGAAAAAGTATCTGGTGGTAGCTTTTTAGTTTTCTGAGATAAAGTAAGCAATTCATGAACATGATCCACAGTGGATTTAGAGAATTTCTGTTAAAAGTGGGATAAAATATTAGCTAAACCAATTATGCGTACATGATTATGCGACAACAATTCTTTCATAATATGCTGATCATATATTTCTCGACCAAGTTTTATGCGTTCTTCATCTGTCTCCAACTTTTCAAACTTTTTTATCTATAATTTATGAAAGTAAGTCAGATAAAAACAACAGCCTTGTTACTTACATTTTCATAAAACGTCAACTGAGGCACAGGTTCTTCACTTACATTGAGCGCAAAATCTCTGAATAACAAGTAACCTTATGGGAAAAATATTAGCTTTAAAACAATTCATAGATTATAGACATACCTAATTTCTCATTGAAAATTTTATCAAAAGTGATTTGATTATTCTTCTCCAGGTATTTGGTCATGATGCCACGGATACTATAAATATTTTAAAAAAAACAGTAATTTGTTGAAAGATACAACGCTGCCAAGTCAGATATCGAAATGTTTCCTCTCATAAGTTTACTATTATTTTGAAGAAGTGATATCAGATTAAATGACTTCCCAAACTAGGATCTCTACCAGACGTTTTGGTGTTAACCTCAGTATCAAGAAACACCCTAGACAGAAATTAAGGTTGCGCTGATACCGCTGTTTAGTTGAATACGATGGTGGAAAATTGGTCTAATATAATTAGACTAAACGTCAGCATACCATGATTTACGAGTAGTTATATGCGAAGAAATCATATTAACATTTATTTTACCTTTCCCATTCTAGTCGTGTAAACAGATATTGAAAAACCGAAATGTTATGAACAAGATAGTCGCACAATTGGTTAGTTAGTCAAAACTTAGCCTGGTACCGGGTTAGAAACCACACTTATTATCTGAAGTAGGCGAAGCAACATTCGAAACCAAGATCCATTAGTTGGAAATGGGGTGTTTAAGCCAATGAGCCTAATCTCCACAAACACTTTTCTTTACAGTTTTCACGTATATTAGTTAAGAAGGGAATAACTGAATAAAGTTCTAAATACAATAAACAACCAAGGATACACTCGTTTAACAAGGTCAACTTTTAGTTAGTTCGTAACATCTTTAATTTTCCGACGAATACGATGTACATTCAACCTATATACAACGCATGACGTAAGACTGAGCGTAGATCATTTTCGAGAACAAGACACCACCTGCTTAGAAACTGAAGACTGAATAATATAAATATGACGATCAGATTCAGTATTAAACACAGATATCAACATCAGATTATGAACTCACTAACAGGTATTCTCTCAGAATGTTATGCGGTATTGGGGAAAGGAATGCAAACGCAACTTGATACCCTATAATAAACCAACTCAGATAAAATCTCAGATATTTCTGAAAGTTGAGTTTTCTTCACATACAGAGATAATGTTTGGACTTTCTATAAGAACTAACTGGGCTGGCTATGACGGGCTAAACCGTGCACTTACATCTCAAGAAATCTATCCACACTAATTTATTTCTTTAATTTTGAACTAATAACAACATATTTCCCCATGAACTTTGTTTGTGATTCTAATAAACTTTCTAAAAGAAACAGGTTTAGTTGGAAACTTCTAAGGATGATTAGCCAAGAACCTACCGAGATAAGTGATATAATGGAACACACACCTATAGTTCATACAAAATATCACAATTGAATGTCTTCAGTCACTGATACTACTCAAAATCCTCCCAGTTTACGAACGAACACTAAACTCTTTATCTCTCTGCTTGTTGATTACGGATGCTGCTGATGAACCAAGACATATGTTTAACTCATTTAAACATGCTTTTGGTGTTAGGTATGACAAGCTTTCCAGTGAGAACATAATTTTCTGCTCAGAAAAATACTTATAAAGTGTCCAAGAAACTTCGTATTCACTCTTACACCTGTTCTAGACAAGTGTTTAAGTACCTAAGATCTTTACACTTAAAATTATAGTCAATTAAATGCTTACTAAGAGTTCTATGACGTCGACGAAACACATGGTGTATGTTAGATATTTTTTGGCATTTTTTAAATCATTGGAGATAACGGATGCCTAATTTGAAAATGTTACAGAACATTCCAAATTATATCTGCATACCTGGAGATGACCCGCACCTATTTTGTGACAGCTGATGATACCACATGATTATTTACACCTCGGTAGGAAAAACAAAGTACTAGCCCTTGCTGCACTCACCAAACCTTAATCACTTAACACCAATGAGTCAAGACTTTCATGATTAATCTTGGTAATAAAATTGTTTTTAACCGATTTCTTGTCCGCTGAACAGCTTGTCAACAGAAATCAGAAGTAATAAAGTATCTGAAGCGGAAAACTCGTATGACACACCACAGGAATGAACTTCCAAGCATTTCTAAGAAAAGCATTCACAATATAACGCAAGATAACAGTATATTGGTCAGTGTTTAAAGATTCCTACAGAAAGCAACCTTATCAAACCATAGAAAATAAAAATAGGAATGACAACTTTTGGTATGTTTTAAAAGGTGTGTACGCATCTGAAGTAGAGTTTGAGGGATGCAATCTACAGTGTCTAACAATATATCTGAGTTGTTCTAGACAGAACGCTTACAATTCACTCAAATGGAGTTACTGAATTTTGGGATTGATGCTATGAGTTAGTTTAGCACTTCACTTTTTTAGATAGAAAACTTCACTGCGATAAAACATGGATTGAAAAACGGTGTGTCCACGCTACCGCAATGGATGATTTCTAATCTTATCAGCTGGCCCATAAATTTTACCCTATACTCTCTACCTGATATCTAAATTTCTCGCCTAACCACCGCCTCCCCCGACGGGCATTGCTAGCTGATATAGGTGCAGGTTGAAAAGAGCCAGTGGTGGCCAAACAAAAACATGGCCTCATCAATCCATGAAATCCTTGACAGTTAAACTGAGTCAGGTAGGGAGATGCAGACTCCCGGGTTGGGGACCTCGGGACTGACTCTAGGAATCAATGGCTGGAGACAATAGGTGACATGGCTCAAAATCGTTGTCAATGGCGCAGATGTGTTCAGTCTCTGTAATCTTTCATATTCCTTTCTACCATTACCCATTCTGTTTCACTCTTATACTTGTCAAACTCTATTGATTCTCTTCACTCATCTTCTTGTCTACCTCTGTGTGATATTTGGAACGTGGCAACTCGAACTGGTGCACTTCGGTGCCAAGTTCTATGTTGAATCCAGACAGACAGACAGACAAATTTCTCGCCTACCGGTTGTGCTATACAGTGATGTTATGAAAGTAATGAATATCAGGCACATAGAAACATCAGCAAGTCCCATCGTTTCAGTGGGACTACTACTTCATAGTACAGTCTGTAGTAAGTACGAAAGTATAGATATAGTAAGCAAAAATTGTAAGGAGGTAAACGAACTTTCCACGCCCTCGTCCACTGACGGTGTAAAAGTATGGTTTTATTTTCGTATGTATAAGAAGAGGAATAACCCAAGTATGTCAAACAATTGAACTTACGACCAAGATTAAATAAACAGAAACATAACTGAATAGAAGAAATATACTTTCATCATAACCTTACTACACAAGCTACGAAACAGCCATTCAAACGCATAAAAATATATCATTATATACTCCGCGTCAAAGAGTATTAGTCTAATTCACTCATTACTTATTGTTACTCAATTCAACATGACAGTACGTATACCACAATCCACATGCCATAAAAGATTCAGGTTCACAAACTGGTCAAATGAATGACCAATTCAGATTAAAATAGCAACTCACCTCTACAATACTTGGTCAGTCAATATTAACACATATACATAGTGACCCAAGCTGAAACACCTGTTACCCAGATATCGAATACATGTTAGTAAAAACCACATAGTGAAACAGACAAAGATTGTACACTAGCGTGATGCCATAGAAGAGACAATGAGGCAAATGAAGAAACACTACGAAGAGAGCGAAACATGTTCCCATGCGATCGATTCGAAACCGTATGATCAAGGTTCCCTGAACGATGATTTCCGTGGTCATGATCACAGCTGGGCAACCTATGAATGTCACATACAGCTCAAACCAAAAGTCATGGATTGGTAGTATGACTTGATATAAAGGGCTTTTATTTTCCGCTAACCTAATTTTACTTCTGCTAAGATAGTAGGCTGAGGTAGACTGAGTAGAAGTGTGTAAAACGCCGGATATTGGAAATTCATAACTGCCTTGAGTGAACCGCTTATGTCCTTCAAGAACACACACAAATTGTGCATCACTTATTCAGTCGTTTCATCAAACGTGAGAAATTATATGATAGTTACATCTAAATAATTTAATGTTCACCACCACTAATGACCGAAGCTCACACTTAAAAAGCAGAACAGTGGTGCGCAGTAGGGCAGACCATTAGCGCTACAACCGTGGCACACCAAAATACCACGGTTGATATGATTTCCAAGTGATCGAAACAACCAACGCAGTCAGTTCACTCCCTATAGGCCTTCGGTTAACGTGTTTGGACCAGTCCTGAAACAATAATTTACATATATGTGAAAATGAAAACTAAATATTTTGAGGTTACTGTCCTGAAGACTATATCTTTTTAGAACTATGTTCAACATAACCTGATTTTCAAACTAAGGCAAAGAAGTACGCTTCTATGAAAGATTTGACGAAAGACATCCACAAGCATTTAAGGTATGCAGAAGCTCATGAGTTTACAAATAAAAGACATTAGAAATGTCCTATTTGTGTTGATTTAATTTTGATGTAACATCTGGGAACGTAGAAACTTGAACCGATGCAAGATGCAAGGCTTTTTATGATGTAGTACATAACATCCATAGCTGATAAGCCCAATCACTCCTGGCACTTTATTCGTGGTCAATAATGATTAAAATGAATGACCATAAAAACAAAAACATTGGAGACCATTACTTTAGTCCATTCACCGCGCATTAACTCCAAAGTAACCCCGAAGATTTCATTAAGGTTGATTTTGTCTACCAACCTTGTGAATTTGTCTTTGAGAGTGAGAGCAGCTTTTGCTTCGTTGCTGTTTACAAAGTGGACTGGTTCCTTCGGAAAATGCCTGGATTAAAAAGCGCATTAGTCTTGCATGACGGCAGAACCCAGAGGATAACTGCTTGAGATCAGTCACGCACTTCCTGTGAAAAATAGTTTTTGGAGCTGTCTGTGTGGAAATCTTACAGCCGACTAGAGGCTGTCGTAAGGCAAGGTAGGATGTATACTTTTCAGGATCGAACTTTTCCAAACCCTTAGTTTTAGAGCGGAGAGGCGGCATGACTGGCTTGTTGACCACCTGGGTAAAACGCCTTACTGCTGTAGATAGGGTAGGGATAACAGGTATTTTATCTTTGGTCACTGTATTTGTGCGGGGTCCTACGTTAATAATGTCGACAAGAGTGTCCGAACTTGGACATATAAGGAATCCTTTTCTTTACAAGGAGTAAAAATTAAATTTGTGCATAAGTTTCCGGGAAAAGAACATGGATTAATGTGACAGAATACGTTGCTAATTCCGTAAACATGATTGGAAATAGAGGCAAATTAAACTGAAGCTATTGATGCTGTAACACTTCTTAAGATTTTCGATTAAAACAGTTGAAAAGTCTCACAGGATATCAAAAAGCACCTTAATTGCTTTTTTCTAGAAATAAGTCCCATTATGCAGAAATGACTTCAAAACATGGCTGAACTGGTGATTATAGATATAAATTCCGAGGAAATTTCCAAGTATATTAAGAAAGAATGTCAATATAACATTTCTCAGTGACTGGGACCTAAATGAAAAAACTGATGTTCTATTGATCTAATTTATCAAACGTGGAAAAGTAAGAGTAATTATCACCCCCATAAATCAACTTAATGGTAACAAAAAACCGGACCTACGGTGAAACATAGTGAAATAAATGCTAGTAACAAGCAAAATATACTTACATCATAGAATGTAAAAGTCTGCATAAAAATGGGCTGGTATAAATTAACAACACAACCATGAAGTTATCAGCTACGGATTCATCAGAAAATGTAATAATGTAAAATAATGAGTTCACTAACATACAGTGTGAATCAGCATGATCTATTACTTACCAATCATTAATCAATAAATTTAAATACAATTTAATAAAAATGATAATGCATTGAAGGTAAAATAAACAAACAGGAAATAGAAGCTTACATTGAATAAACAGCTACTTTAGTGAGTCACGGACGCTCGCTTTTCAATCTAAACGACTAAAATATATGGCTGAGCCTAAACCACATGTCACTACGCTATTTGGATACAGAATAAATGTCCACTCATAATTGTGTCTTTTGAAAAAAATAACATGCGACTGATTTTTAGTCAAATATATCACCCAGTGTAAGAGACAAGCTGCGCACCAAGATAAATGCAGTGTCCCGAGGAAATGCATGCATGAATTGTTGGAACTTAGGAAATTATGTCTATACATATGAAGTACTGGTAGGCTGTGTAAAAGGCTATAAAACTACGAGGTGAGCAGCGAATAACTAATATCACGACAGCAACTTCGAAGGCGAGATTGCAAACGACAAAAAACCAAGGAAAAGCAAGTACTGCCTAATTAGGAATAAACCATAAATAAACACTCTAAGCATTTTACATTGGGAGACAAGGGCATGCTATGTAGACAGAAATCAAAATTATTCGAGGAATTACCTTGGGTCAGGTAGAGCAATTCTTTTACTGGCACGGGCAGCAGGAGTAGATTTACTCATCTCCATAGCCATCAAATAGCTAACATCCGCCAGTACAGCTTCTAGATCCGCCATCTCAAAATGTTTCGAACTTTAAATTATTTATATATCCAAATTAAGTATTTCAAATAGTAAACGTCCCAAAGTGTTGTCGAACATATTAGCGTAATGTTTCAAAAACAGCCATCATTATGACAATCACACATCGCGCCTAACGAAAATAGGCGGAAAAACAAGTATCAATTTCCAAGGAGAATCCAAAGAAGATGTCTGATAAGAATACCTTTATAACTAAAACGCCTTCATAAACAAACCCTTTATAGCCATGAGAATGAGGGTGAGGTGAAGGGATAGTGACGTTACGGAATAGTAATAACCTATCCGTCAATATTCATCCCTCAAGAGTTTTTGGTCTTTGGAATACAGAATACAAAGAAATTGCTGATGGCTTCGACTAAAATATGCACTAAATGGTAGACTTACGTGTTAGGTTGGACCTTCCTTTGTCATTAAGGTAATGTACCTTAATAGACATAACACCGGACTAGATGTATCAACCCATCAGCTTAGACTAGCTGCTGCCAATGTAGCTGGAGCATGGTTGGAATGGCACCAATGATTTTTCAGAATTCTTCTAGTGGCACGTCGACAAAGTTAGTTGTTGCGAGGAAGGTAAATTAAATCCGTGGTTTCACTACACCTTCCACCTTTTTCTGGAAATCTAAGGCATATAGTGATCCGACATTTGAAACCATCATTTATAAGATCAGTTTTAATGGTCACATGCTATGCACTGGACTTTTATGTCAAGTCAGCAATATGATAGCCCCACATATACATTATTATTACATATTATTATTCCCTTGCGTTCCGAGTAGAACGTAGGGCTTCAACGACATACTTTCTTCTATTTTCTGCCATCCTCTTCAGCTGGGTCCACGATTGACCATAATCTCTCATCTCCTCTCCGCTTGATCTCTACTATGTCACCCTCGGCGATCCACTCTTTAATTCTCATCCAGATTCCGTTCAAGAGATGGCCTGCGTTGCGTGAGATGTCAATCTATGGCCTCCTCAACTTGTTCCCGATTCATCTCCACATTCTCCCATATATATGTTGAACGATAGGCTCCTGGTTGGTTTTTTCGCAGCCGCAGTTTCTTATCACTGATTCCTTCTGGCTTGTCTGTCATTTAATCTTCAGTATGGAGATAGTCAAGGAAGAGGGCAGCCGTTGACAAAGTCCGCAGTCCATTGAAAATCTTTTTCGCAACATGCAGTGAAAGTTTCTGGCACATATAGAGGGATCGACCAACTCAACACCTGTGTTGAAAATCCAAATCCTGTTACTTATGCTGGGAAGTACAGTGTATAACATTTCCAAGCTGATTTTAGATTGATGAAGGCGTATGCTGCCTTCGACCTCTTCCGTTCCAACCGCCTGTGGTTCAATCCCTGCTTCCTAGTTAAGTGAAGGAGTGACTCCTTTCAAATCCATCTGTTGATAGTGACTACTGCTGTTTCTTGTTGCCGTTGATTGGCAGGTTATCTTCACCACTTCCGTCTTCCCAACGTTCACCTGAAGACCTGTCTCCTCTGCCTGCCAGCCTCTTCTGCCAGTTTGAGGGTTTCCGCCTGCAAACCTCGAGTTTGTGTGACATTTAACATAATTAATCCACGTGTAAAATCAAAATCTTCTAATCTTCTCATCGGTCCAAAGAAACCCGTCTCCTCACTCCCTGTGCACGGTTAGACGCATGATTCAGTCCACTACAATTGAGAATATCATTGGTGATAATAGGCGGAGAGCGCTGCCTTACTGCAGTATTAACCTCATACGCCTCACTGAGTTTTCCATTGTGGATCATCTGGGACGTGGCATTGTCATATAGCTGTTGAACGAGGTAAATAAAGATTTGGACACTGCACGCCGTAGTGTTGATATGACTTCCAAATTACTTCTCGGTCAACATTGAGCAATCGTAGGCCTTTTCGAAGTCGATGAAGTTAAGGGACAGGCTTGACTGCCATTCTATGCTTTGTTCCGTTGCGACGATGTACAGAGTCGCAATTTGATCAGCACATTATTTGCCTTTTCTGAATGCAGCTTGTTTCGGGCGGAGTTCTGTATCCGGTTCATCTTTTATTCTTTCCAGGATGACGTGACTTTGTACTTTACTTGGCGTGGACAACAGCATGATTCCAAGCCAGTTCTTGAACTAACCCAAGTCCCTCTTATATGGCAGTTTGACGAGGTAGCCTTTATTCCAATCGGTAGGTACCTTCCCTTCTTTCCAAACCTTTTGCAGTTATGGCCTGACCACATCTGCGGCAGTCCCTGGGTCCGTTTTCAGTGTTTCAACGTGGGGGAATTCCATCTGTGCCTGCTACCCTCCAGATTGGTGTCCAGTAGTTTCATCACAATCAGGATTTCTACTTTCGTTGGAGGATCGGTGTCTACCATCAGGCAGTCCTGTGCGTGCAACTGGTGGCGGTGGTTTTTTTCTGGGAGAGATACAGGTGGTGGTCGATTCAAGAGTCCTCTGAAGTGGTCGATCCATTGCTTTATTTGTTTCTTCTCCTTCATGATTTGGTCTCCCTGAGCACATCTATCAGTGGTTTCCTCGTGTGAGATGATTTCTCCCTGGATAGAGACTCTTGGTCCCTCGATCTCTTTTACCTGCCAGCCAGTGTTTCGCAGAATTTTCTTTTGTCTTTCCTAGCACTCTTCTTTACTGCTTTATTCAGAACAGTGCACATTTAACTCAACACCTCCTTCAGTCACCCATCTTTGTATCTTTTCCTCTTTCACCATCCTCCTCTACTCTCTTCTATTACTTTTCGGGTGGTATCCCATGAGAGCCATTCTTTGTCTTGTCTCTTCTTTCTTCCCAGAACAGTTGTGCAGGTCTTCTTAAATATCGTCTTCAGAGAATTAGTTCCAATGTTCTTCCACGCAGACTTCCTCAGTGATAGCACGTAGTGCCTCTGACTTTGCTCCAATATCTGCAGTGAAGGCATCGCTTTGAGTTTTGTCCTTCAGTTTCTGAATGTTGAACCTGAATCGTGGTCTGTCTCCGTTTCTTTACAGGTATTTCAACTTCACCTTGAGGGTTCCTAGAACTAGATGATGGTCTGAGCCTATGTCTCCTCCTCTTTTCGGCTTTTTATCCAGCAGACTCAAATTTCAGTTCCACGAGCAGCATTGAGATGAAATCTATTTGGTTTGTGGTATGTCCGTCAGGGAAACTCATATTGTTTTGTGTGTACACTTGTACTTGTATATTCTGGGTTCAATCACGAAATTACGAAAAGTGCAGAAGTCTGCGAATAGTTCTCCGTTCTCATTTATTTCTCTAAGCGACGGCCTCTGGACCCCTAATGAATTCTTATCCTTTATTATCTGCTCCCAGTTTGGCATTCATATCGTCCATGAGGAATCTAATGCCACCACTTAGGATATTTTCCACTGTTGTTTGTAGCTATATATAAAAATCTAAGACCAGCTGCCTCTTTATTACGTGGGCTACCACCAGCTATAATAATACACCACACTTACCATCGCAAATAATGCCTTGACGCAGCGGCTATTGGATAATAGACACCTCTGCTCTACCTAGGGCTCTTCCCTGTTGAACTTGATGCTACGTAACGACGTTGATATAAACAGTCTGGTTACCTATTGACCACTAGTTACTAGCGATTATAGGTTTGTGTTATGCAATAATAATGCCCGAGATGTATTTCGAGTTCCACACAACACTCGTTTTGACCCTTAGAATTCAGAAATTAGAGTTATTTACTGTGACATGGCCGGTTAACATAGCCTTATCGATGATTGTGATTGTCATTATTATCCCCGCACATATTCTGGGTGGAACAAAATGTACCAGAGGTACAAATCCATTGCCTTTGGCTCTCCACTGTTATTTCCAACTAACTCTGGCATCATCACGAGCTCTCAGCTATTCCCAAGATTATCTCCCTATCGCCAACTGGCCACTTTCGCTTTGTTGTAGTAATAATAATAAGTTGATTCCAAGCATGACTTATGTTGTAAATTTTAATTTTCAGCATGTGATATAATATGGCATCTGATTTTCTGTTAACATTACATATTAAATGGCCAGATCACCATCATAATGAAAAAATTGATCCCATCAATATGAACGAAGTTATATAAGAAGAAAGTGGAAAGAAAACTAGGAAGAACATCATCTTGAGGGAAACCGATCACAGTAAGTAAAGCCGTGGAAGACTTCCCGTTGCATACAGTATACTGCTTCCAATCAGAACTAATTAGAATCCAAGCATTTATTTATCCAGCACCCTGTTTGTGTCATGTCAAGCTTCTTTAACAAATGATGCCTAGATATGCAATTAAAGGGAGATGCGTGACTGAAGAAGGCACGCTTGATGTGTATGGTGTTTCCTCCTAAACTATAGACAGTATCATGATTCAAGACAACAGTGGCATCTAAAGTACATCTACCGTGTTTATAAACGAATTGTTTAGGTTCGGTAAAAGCCTCTGATGGAGGCTAAAGGTTAAGTGAGAGCAGTTTCTCTATCATTTTAAGAAACGTTGAGGTATTAGCAACAGGTTGTAACTTGATATTTGATCTGATTTCTTCAATGATCCCGGCTCTGATAGCCCCACCCGTGCTATCGAGGCCAAGCAGGTGAAAGAAATGACTTCCTTTAGGTTTCTTAGGTTGTTGCTGATTTGAGCCTGTTGTTGTTAACAGGATCTCCCACCGCCTTTTCTTACCGGTGTTCACCTGATGTCCTATCATCTCTTCCGCTTCAGCGAGAAGATTTGGATTCAGTGATTGCATGACTTAGGTAATAGTGTTGAAAACTGATGTAAGGGAGGTTGTTATTATGTAGTCGATAAATGGCTTTAGTGTTCAACCTGTCATAGTGCATCGAGGTTTAGGGGAGGAAGTGAGAACTCCAGAAATCTCTAGGGCAATAGCTGTGGAAGGCTCACAATATTACCGGCCTCCAACAAGGTATTTTTAAGCCATAGTCTTGATATGTTTGCATTGTGCACGATCTATATCAGACCTCAC